ATAAGAATTAGTTCATAACAAAAAGGTGTCTTAATCTTTCGTAACTTGATTTCATGAAAATCGGATAGTCATTGTTTCATGTAATCGACGTAAATTAATGTACACTAACATCTAAAATTAATTTTTGTAATAAACATCTCTTAAAGAAGTAACAATAATTTCTCTGAAGTTTTTTTGAGGTTATATAATTATACACACATATAATAGCTTCGTCTTTAATATCACTCGACTATAATAAATTGCATGTAATTAAATAAATATAAATCTTATTCTCTACAATAACGTAACGTAAGGCCGTAATAGACCCAGTATAAAGCGCGGAAAGATTGCGAGCGAACGAATTATGTATTTTCTTACCTTACAGCCTTATTACGATCATTGTAGAAGAAGCTTAATTAATACTTACCTCAGAGCTGTGAATTTAAGATGTGAGAGATAATCACAAATGGACACAATACTTATTCGGCTGGACACAATACTTATTCGACGAGAGAAAGATCTGCGTATATACGGACAGCAATGGGGAGAGCGTAGTGCGTAGTGCGCTTTAGTGGCGAGAACAAATGCATATCGACGGGAACTATTTTATCAGTGAATTCGTCATAGCCTACTGATTGCGAAGTGAAATATTGAATCACTGATAGAATCAGTGGAATTTTCACTGTTTCAAATTAAGAGAGTACAAAACTCCCGTGAGGAAAATCTAATACACTCCGGAAAATGTGTCCGCGAGAGACGCGAGGACACCGGATACGGCGAGTGGGTGAGCGGGAGGCGAGCGGGGAAAGGGATGAAGGGGTTCTTCGGGGTTTGACGGTGACGGGGCCGACCCCCCCTCGAGTAAATTACATTCCCGGCAAGCCGTATCGGATTATCCTCACGCCGAGGCGAGGATTCGTCTAGACCGTAAGAACTTCGCCATATCGCTGTTCTCGCGCGAGGATAGGAAAGTTTAAAATCTCTCCGCCGTGTCGCACGGGAACGAAAGAGTTTTGGTCGACGCGGTGCATTTCGCCATCGGATGATACGAGGAGTGAATTATTCCGTGTCAGAGGCAATCCCGCGCCCATTCTTCGGAAGGTCGATAGAATTTCAGGCCGCGATGTCGCGACACGCGGCAGACAGCCTTGATTTTACACGCGCGAACTTCATCGGAGACGATAAGCCACCATTTGCAAATGTATAATATTAAATCTTCACAAAGATTTTTGTCACGGAATAAGAATTTTTTTAATTATCATTGCTATTACTGCAAACTGAATATTGCAAACTGAAATGATAAATATTCAAATTATCATTCAAAAATTCTACCCACGTTAAGAACCCTTTTTCGCAGTTCAACATTTCCGGCGGAGGGCAAAATTTTTTGCTCGTTCGTCTGGTAGACGTTTGCTGACGACGTCATCGCGATGGCTCGCTAAAGGGCGATAATTCGCGCGTTCTACCACGACAAAAAGCGGGGAATTAGTCCTCCCCGGGGGAGGCCGCTGTCGTTAAGGCCGTACTTATTGCGACGTAATAAGCGTCGTTTCCCGTTCCCGAAAACCGGACGGAATTACTTCTGCGGCACGAGCGTTTTTCATTATTCAAAAGTAAGATAAAAGTGCGATTCGTGCTTTCGGCGCATTTTCCTCGCCGGTTCTCTCGTCACCGAGCAACGGACAAAGAGCATTCCCGGATTAATGGAGCGCGAAAGCGAATTTAAACGAGACACCGACATCCGCATCACGTCTGTGAAGATGCATACGCGAAGCTCCACGGAGTGGAAAACACGAATGCAGCGCTGCTGCAACATCGAGCAGCGCGCGATCGCGCTGCACCGACGTTGCGTTTATTGCGCCGAGAGCTTTCTCCGTCTGCGGTAATAATCGTTCTGCAGGCACATCTCGTCCGCTCGTTATCGTCCTCAAGATGATTTCCTCTCGGCTGCGCCTCCATTTGTCCGCGCATTACACGCGTAAACGCCACGCTCTACGATGCGTTTTGTGCACCTTTGCGTTTTGTAAAGACGTGCACGAATGCGAGAGAATATAAAAGAAATATCGCGACGCGGCAATGCGCAATAAAATTGAATAATATGCAGGTACATATTTAAATCAAATATTTGCCTTTTTAAGAAAAAAAAAACGACTTTGTTTAATGCAATTATAATTGTGTAGAGATTATATGTTTATGCAAAGTCGAATAGCGAAAAATTGGATTAATTGGAATTTATTTTAACTTTATTATTATTTAATATAATAGCATTATTATTAAAAAGTGATTTTGATGCAGTATCGAAATTAAACAATGGCAACATAGTAATAGAAAATTTAACTTTCTAAAAATAATGTCAATTATTTGGAATTTTATCTGTGAAAGATTTCAAAGCGACTTTTTATGCAAACTCTAAACAGCTGATACTTTTCGCGCTAATCACCTTCCTGCATAAATAATGGAAACATCCGCATAAATCACCCGACTCTAATCAGTATTAGTTAGCTGCGCCATTAAGCGAATTAATGATGCACGTGCTTTGCGCGCTTTACTATCATAACGGAAGACTTAGGAGTCTATGCTTATCTCGGCAACAGCCATTTACTTCATCGCGAGGAGCCTAATCGCTAGTTTCCTCCTTCGACGCGACTGGCAAACGACGTTGCGCGCCTCTCATAAATATTGCGAATTGCGTTAATTAAAGTGCAAACGTTAGTCTCGGCATAATGAATATTACCGCATTAGTGCTAATTATAAAAAATTATTAGCTGCACTTGAACGATCAACTTAAACTATATTCAAATTTATTTTCGAAACGCACTTACTTTTTTGTGACAAGCGTTGAAAATTATACGCGATTGTGCATGGAGCAGTATGCAAATTATTATAACGAGTGTGACAACTGTTATACGAATGTAAATACAAATACAGTTAAACATTAATTTTTCACTTTTAACGCGACACATCACTTATTCCATTTTTCAACCAAGGACTCTCTTAGGTTCGCGAAATCTTTTCTCCGCGGCGCATTATCGTTCAGAATTCAGAATTTCAAATGCTCCCTCGCATCGAAAGGATCGTAAAAAACCGTGAACTCAGGAACAACAAAAGAAATGCCTGCGAACGATCCTGTCTCGGCGTTGTCGTTGTCGACGATGGCGGTGGCGCAGCGCGCGATACGTTTCACGTAGGAAATGCGATTCCTAGACGCCGCGACATGCAAAACAGCGCAATAAGCAGGCAATAACCGAGAACCTTTTATTCCGGCATGACAGCGCGCTGCCTGCAACTCACGTTTCTTGTCTCCCTACGAGGAAAGTCCAGATAGAGGGTGGAAAGGCTTAAAAGTTATTTTGCATACGAATGCATTCCGAGTTTTACTTCTTGAAATTGCATCGTGCTATCTTGTCCGATTATATTGCGATATTCCATTTCATGGATGAGAGAGAAAGGAGGAAACTCCAAGCGGAAAATGTATTACGTGATTTTAATAATGATTTATTAATTAATAACGCGTACACGACGGGCGGACCGTAAACGTCGCTTAAAGGGCTTTCCAATTACTTTCCTCGAACGTGATGAAAACCGATGTAAACTCAATTATAGAATTTTACCGGATAAATTACGGAAATTCAACGGTCGCATTAACCCTTATCCTTTTCGGAACCCGCCGTAAGTTCAGATTTATTCGCGGCTGAGTGGACCTTCCCTCGGCTGCACGAAACTCTTAAGTATCGATATGCTCAGCGGAGCATCGAGCCCTGCAATCGGAAACGGTTTCAAAACTTTCCTGCCGTTTGCGGCGGTGCGTTCTATTAACTGAACCGCCCGACGGGAGGGTCGAGGCGCGCAGCGGAGGAGGGTGAGTTTTAAGACGAGAGACGCCCGGCCGACTTATGCGCCGGCTCTTCCACTTGCTCGATATCTGGCGCCAGGCAAACGAACGCTCTTTCCTCCGCCGGCCTCACGTCCGGTGCCAGAAACGTGCTCACCCACGAGGGTCAAACAAGAATATTACGTTTCCGTTACGACGCGCTTGTTTGGACAGGGCTTCCCCCGACCGGATCCGGATCTCGGAGCGCGTTCGCGTTTCCAACGTATTAGCAAACAATGCGAACAGTGTGGGTTTGCACAAGATATCGCGGCGGTCATTGCCGGATTTCGTTTGACAAAACTGCTGGCTTGTAATGTCGGAGAATAACAGATCGAAGTTCGACATCAAAACATTGTGATTTTGCGCTTCGCTGTCAATAGTGACTTAATAAAATTGCAAAGTATGCCATGACGTCGGAAACTCTCTTGGTCTTCTCCAGTATAATTCTAGGACTTTATAATTTTGAAGCGAAGATACGGGGGAGAAATTTCTATTCAAATTACCAGAAGTTGGAACGAAATTTGGTCGGGATCGCTATAATTGAAATTGAATTTCTCGGAAACGCTAAAATTGAAACCGAATTGTACGAAATTGCTGAAATCGAAACTTTTTCAACATTATTGAAACTGATATTGATTGAAGCGATGTAGGCAGCGCGAGAGCTACCTTTTTTTCACGTCAAACTTTGATGTAGTGAATATCGGTGGAACAAAGTTTCCATTGCAGTGTAATTTCATTGAATTCTCGTTCGGTGCCTGCCGCACTACATGACAACTCCATGTAACGAAGTTTCGACAGAACTGACTCGATTTTGAACTCTCGTGCAATTTGATGCAACGATGTAACGATGCAACGAAATTTCGACGCTGTAATTAGAGAACAAAATTTGAGATTAATTAAACCTTCTAAGTTTTGCTCTATACTTCGTACAAACAAACATTTTGACTGCAGCGTATGGTTCGCTGTTAAATATTCTTCGTAACATCTTGTGCATTAATTATTTACGTATGTTAATTATTATTATGTAATTTATTTGTATATTGCAGTCTGTGCGAATTAGTCGTTCAAAGTGTTATTAAATTTAACGTTTTAATATTCGCGCGAAATATTGAATATTTTTGACATACAAGAGATTGCATATTTTTCGCGGGAAAAAATGTTTTAAATTAATTTTTTGCACGCTTGAAATAACTCGCACCCCGTATCTCGCTCAGGGGACTCAAATTGTTACGACGCCTCGAGGCGTAAAATGCGCATCTAAAGACGCGCGCGCAGCTCCTTAAGTGCGAAATCACTATTGCGGCTCCGTACTGTCGAAAATCTGCGACGTAAACATCGTACAGAAGTGGGTCGTGCCGACGAACCGAACGTTATCCGGCAGAGGCAGATCGCTTTTAAAGCGACTTTACGACCGCGCTGGAAATTCGGCTCCTTTTACGGGACAATATCCTGGCGGAATGAACTCTCGAACGATACAGCGAGATAGAGAGAACTCTCGCAGAGCGAGAGATAAGGCATAAGTATAACCATTTGTGCCTCGTAGAATCTTCCATACGTGCGATATGTCTCCACTCGATCTTTCTCGATTCTTCCGCCACTCCTTCCATTTTGGACCGAATTATTTATTACGCCGTTTATCGTCATATTTTACGTTTTACATTTCTTTCTATTTTATAACGTCACATTTCTATGTTAAATCCATATTACTTCAATTCTTCTTAATCGCT